CTCGCGTGCACCAGAAACCACCTGGCGGTGGTGGAGGACGCGCTCGCGGCGTTGGCCGGCTGCGACGAGGCGCTGCTCCCCGTCTTGCGCAAGAAGCTGGTTGGCCGGGCGCCGACCTGGCTGGAGACGCTCCGCAGGAGCGTCGCCCTCCACATGGACGCCGACGGCGTGGACGTGGCGATAGCGGGCGAGGCCGCGCTGAAGCGGGCTCAGAGGGCCCACGGCTGGAGGCGCGGCTTGAGGCCGAGAGGAGCTCGGCGGCGAAGGGCGCCAGGCTCTCGCCGTATCAGCGTCCTTCTTCGCGCCTGGCGCTTGGGACGTCGAGCAGCTGGCGGCTGGTGATCATCGGGTCGCCGACGGGGGGGTGTCGCTCAGGGGGGTCCCTTGGGGGGGGGAGGGGGAAGTCCTGAGGGTCGTGGCCTCCCCCCCGGGGGATCCGCCCGTGGACACGGGGGACACGGTGGCACCACTGTGGACAGGGGGAACTCAGGACCTCCCCCACCACCTCCCCCCTGTGGACCAGGGGACCACCACCGAGGGTCGTGACCTACCCCCTGGAGGGACCGCCTGTGGACAAGGGGGACAAGGGGGACAGGGGACGCACAAAGACATACTAGTACGATAGATTCTCCTTAGAGGTGCGCGTCCGACACGAGCATGTGGTATACCCATCTTGTAGCACATCGTTCCCCGAGCGGTGTGGCCAGAAAGCGCCCGCCACGACGCATACATATATAGAGAGAGAGAAAGAGAAAGAGACTTCTCGGTGCGCGCGTCGCCCCTGGGGGGGCGACGCATACATAGTATCAGTATGTAGGGGTGACGCCGAGGACAGGGTGGTGGCACCCCTGTGGACAGGGGGAACTCAGGACCTCCCCACCCGCCTCCCCCCTGTGGACAAGGGGACCACCACCACCACCACCACCACCACCACCACCACCACCCTCCTCACGGACCCCCCCCCAAAGGCACGTCAATCCTAGTTGCTGTTGCTGGGTGCTGCGTGCTTTCCCAAACGCCCCCAAGAGGCCTCAGATCCGCTCCGAGGCGGCTCCAAGTGACCAACTCCCCCGACGAAAGGCCCCCAACAGAGAACACGAGGCTTCCAAGAGGGCTCCAAGAAGGGCTCCAGAGCGTCGGCGTCGGCGTCGCCGCCGCCGCCGTCATCGTCCCAATTCAGGGTCTGCGGCACCGGCCGCAAAGCCTTCCCAATATTAGAGACCTCCCAGATGGGGTCGGAGTAGATGAGCTCGACCGTGCAATGGCGACGCCAACGTGGAAAACATCGGGCTCGTCGAGCTGCATCGCCGATGCATCGGCGATGGGGAGCAATCCTCCGGCCCTATCTATGGGAGGCACAAAGACGTACTAGTACTATATGTCCTCCTTAGAGCCGCACGTCCGATCCGAACATTTAGTATACCCATATTGCAGTGCATCAGATCCCGAGCGGTGTGGCCAGAAAGCGCCCGCCAGGACGCATATACTATGAGATTTCTCGGTGCGCGCATCGCCCCTGGGGGGGGGGCGGCGCACACATCGTATAAGTATGTTGGGGTGACGCCGATACACTCGACCAGGATATTAAGGATGCGCGGTAAGGATGCAAGGGCCTTGGAACGCCATGGTGACGTTTTCCGTGCGGAGCGCAGCAGAATGCCGAGGGATGCCGAATACCGCAAGGGCAAGGATGCAAGGGCAGCCATGGAGAGCTGCCCCGTCCTTACTATCATGGCTGACCGCATCTCTACCCCCGACCCCACCTGGGAGGCCTGGAGACTGCAGGCCTCGGGCCTCGAACTGCCCCCCTCCCTCCCCTCCCGCCCCCCGTCGGCGGCGCGCCTCCGTGGTGCCGCAGTCCACGCGCCGGATCACCTGGCTGGACGCCGCGAAGTCGAGGCGCCGGTAGAGGTAGCCTGCAGGGGAGGAGGGCGCTCGGCCTCGGAGTCCCGAAGCGATGCGGTGGCAGACCGTGCGGTGACCTCGAGATCCCCTCAGACCTCGCCGCACGGCCCGGCACCGCACGATCTTGGGACCTCGGATGCCCCAGCCGCCCGAGAAACGTCCTCGGAGAACGGCCCGAGTGACAAAACCGTGCGGAGGCCCCGAATCCCCACCGACTCGCCGCACGGTGCGGTCACCAGCCTATCTGGGGACACCCCATCGTCTTCGCTCCTCGGGGCTCTGCTGGCCGGGGTCAGCGCAAGCCTGGGGGCAGTCGGGCCCTGCAGGGTCTTGCAAGATGCCGCAGCATCCTGCAGGGAGCTGCACCCGGGCCCGGGTCTGTGCGCCCCGGCTGACCGGCGCTCCGGCTGACCCCGCTGCAGGATCCTGCAAGATCTGGCGCTCCGGCTGACCCCGTTTGCATCGACCCCCGTCTCTTGAGCCCCGCGTTGCGCGATGGCGGCCGTGACCGGCCCAGGCCGCTCCTGCTCCCCCAGGTGCCGTCGCCCTTCGTGCTGTGCTCTCCGCGCTGTCCTTGGCAACTCCTGATGACATT